ATATATAATAAAAATTATATAATATATGTAAAAAAACCCAAGGAAAAATAATATGCTAAAATATTTGTACCTTTATTATTGAAAAAAACAACTTTACATTTCACGCGCGTCAGATTTAACTTTTATATGTGAATTTTGATAACCTTTTATTATATTATTATATTTAAACATGGGTAACGAAACTGAAACTTCCCAAAACTCTGTCGGTTTCGGTATATACGAAATAGAGTTTCGGAAATGCATATATTTTTCCGAATCCCGAATCCCGACCCGAAACCGAAATATGCCCAAAATTTTTATTAGTTTTCCTTACAGTAAATCTTAAATAAAGGTATCAAGTTCAATTTCTAATAGTTTGTTCACTATTAAATTATTTCTAACATTAAATCCAAATTAACTATATAACTATTAGGGTAGAATTTGTTCACTCCATTATATTCCTCAATCCTCACATAGCGTCGGGTATTATGGATTTCTTGATGATTATTGAGCACGTGATTTCGTCAATATGACGTATGGCACAGTTGTTTAAGCAATTTAATTGGGTAATGCTGGTTTCGGGATATCGGGATAGGTTTCGGAATATCGGAAGTTGTTTCGAGTTTCGGTAGAAGTATGGAATTTACCATCAAAACTTCATCCAGTAGTAATATTGAAATATCCTGGCCGCTTTCGAATTCAACCTCATAAAAAAAATTAGATCATAGTATCATTAACTATTTCTTAAAAATATACTATCACTTATTTTGAATTAAATTATATTCATTAATTATTTATTAGGGTGAACAAGTTGACAATATAAAAATATGTGAATAGAAGCTAACGAATTTTACATGTTAGCCGAGTAAAATAAGTCATAGGTTTTTATAAAATCAAATTTGTTGGCAATAAATAAGAATAATCAATAATATAAATATCAAGTCACGCTTCATTTTTCAAAAATTATATTTAGAACGGTTACAAAATTACCTTATTTGCGATCTTCATAATCACGTCTGAGAATATCTTAATCTTAAGGACTAAATATGATATAAAGGCAAAACCAGATATTATTAAATAATTGTTGGACAAATTTATACTGAATTCAAAGATTTTCTTGATGGTCCAGGTTTGAAAGGTGGTTAAATAATGACTAAATATTTCCGAAGTACAATACACAATACAAATTAAATTTGTAAAAATCTTGCTTTGCTTTGATCTACTATATATGAATATTCTACAAATTTCTATATCCATCAAGGTTCCAAATGATATTGTTTTGTTGAATAGACATAAGGTTTGGAATATTCATTAACTACATCGTGAGATTAGTATCCATAAAACAGCATACTAAATTTAGACCTTAAAAACGTGCTACTGTGATAATCAGTAATATAGCGATTAACATTTTAAAAATTTACTAAATAAATAAAAATGATATAATATATAAATCATAATGAGTCACGTTCATGTGGTTTTAATTCTGTACAATATTCTCAATATAAGTATGTCTATATATAGTTTATCTAGTTTATCTGTATATTCATTCCATTTACAACTTATATCTAATATCAAAGAGCTAGTTTTTATATAATCTGAAATTTTGTAATATAATGAATCATACTATAAAAAATATCTATCTAATTAATAAAATTTTGTCATATTTAGATTACCCTGTATAGTAAATAATTTGAATTGTGTAACATTGAAAAGTGTGATATTCTTGCGTCCGATCTCTATTTCGTATTATTTATCATCAAGGAAATTTGATTGACCTTCCTTACTACGATAACCAATCTTTAAACTAATACATTTCCAGTTAACTAAAATTTTACTGGATTTTTTTATTCTGATGGATTAATACTAACAAAAAAAAGTATAATTTTTCTTATTAATTGCATTTTACTTGTGATCATTCCACCCTCCTAATTACCACGACTAAACGTATGACTAATCATTTCTATAATAATAATTTTTTTTATTTTTCAGTTTTTACCGTAAAGACCAAAACTAACCTTAGTCTTCTTTTTTATTGATTTTTTCATCCCTCTTTTTATTATTATTATTTCTTTTGGTTAACTTAACCAAGTTTTTTTTTATTTTTTTTTTTTGTTTTATTTTTATTGGATTTTTTTTAGGATTTTTACTTGGGGGTGATCACCACTGTTGGCCAGAATTATCAATTTTTACCGGCACTATATTTTTTTAATGCTGGTCAATCGTCATAATTTCAGTCACCGGTGATCATCAGGTGATAGTTAGAAAAATTCTTTTTTTTTTGATTTTTTTAATCGGGAATTTATCAAATGGAATTTTTTTTTAACCCAAAAAATATTGTTTATTCTTTTTTGGTTTGGTTCAAGACAATAATCAGATTATAACTATATCCTACAGCTTTTTCGGTGAAGATTTTTTCAATGGATGGGTATTGTTCTGACTAATAAATCCGCATGAAAATTTTTTTTTGATGATATTAACGAATTTTTTTTTAGTGAGATTGTTTTTAATTATATAGATCATATAAATAATTAGAATTATGTAACTTGAAATCCCCATACCATATAATTAAAACCCATGACATGCCTCCGTCTGATCTATTTATGGTCAAAAATTATTCAATCCGTGTGTTAATCGGAATTTTTTTTTTTTTTGATTATTAATTAATTCAAATATTTTTAGCTTTTTTTGATTTCATTTTTTTTAAACTGAAAAAAATTTTTTCTCCCTTTTCTTCTTTTGGTTTTTTTCAAACTGAAAATTTTATTTTTTCTCATTCTTTCCGATTTATGTTTAATTGTTTTTCCAAACTGAAAATTTTTTTTTTTATTAAATAATCCTATTGTTTCGGTCTTTTAAGACCGATATTTTTTATATTATTTTTTTTTTTGATCTTTTTTTTAGACTGTATTGTTATTTAAAAAAATTTTTTTTTTTTGGAATTTTTTTTCGATACTTATTTTTTTTGATTCCTTTTTTTTTTTATTTTTTTTAAACCGATTTCTTTCTTTATCCTTTTTTTTCCCCAAAATTTTTTTTTTTAATTATTACTTTTTTAGGAAAATTGATAATGGTTAGTCGAAAAATAATTAGCCGCAACGTGATCTCAGGCGTAGATCGTCATGGAATTCCAGGTGATTTCTTAATAAGCTGGAAAGACTCACTCGGTGGAAATTGACGGATTGCACCTATCCCATTACCATCAATTCCATATTTGCTAATGACCGATGTTAATAGAAAGATGATTAAGATTTTTCAATTAAATTGAACACTGGATAAATAATTTGATTTTCAAATTCATAAAAATCAAAAAAAATTGATATTTTTACAATATTTTATAATAAATTAATTAAAGAAATTGTTGATTTAATAATAGATTATTTTAACCAAATCCACATCCGAAATTCACCAGATTTTTGAATAAAGATTTTAATTCAAATTGTTTAGTTAAATTAATAATTCATCGAGTAAAATGAGTAACAAAAGAATAATAATAAATGAAATGAACAGATTCTAATACATTTAATTGTTCAAATATTTTTCCTAAGTTTATTATAAGTTTAAGATTGATGTAATATAAAATAATAAGAAATAATTATAAAATTTATAATTAATTAATAAAATATTTGTAGTATTTTCATAATATTAAAGTTTTTTCGAAAATACTTCTAAAAAATTAATCAATTTTTATTGATAATTATTTTTCATAATTCCCTAATTTCATTCTACATACAAACGTCAAATTATTAATATAAATAGCTACATTATTGTAAATATAATTTATATCATTCTAATATACAGTATTATAAATATAATTTAATACATATTAATTTATTATTTTTTGTTAACTAATTATTACCTATATTAAATTCCTAATTATAAACAAAAACTACTGTAACCATTCTTTAATTTACTTAGTATTACATTATAATACTAAATTTTTCTATTTAAACAAACTCATTGGTCCCGGTGCGAAGCAACGGGTGACTGCTAGTATTTTATTAAATATTTGCTTTTAATAGAACTACATTGTTATATTTTCTCATATGGATAAAGTTCAAAAAAAATTTACCACCAATAGTTCTAAGCAAAAATATTAAATTTTTTTATATTTTATTTATTCATGCAGAATGTAACGAATATGTATGGTAAAGATTAAAATTTAGATTATTAAGATATGAAAATCAAGAATGATTAATGATATAGTAAATTAACATAAAAAATAACAATATTGAATTAAAAAGTTTACATTAAGCTTCAAACTTAAAAACTAATCAAAAAAAAAAAACAAAATCTATCTTATTTAATGAAATATTATGATGAACATTTAAGTATTAGCTTATAATTCTAAATAAATTTAATATTTAGACAAATTTTTTTTATCTGCATTATCTGTATGAAGAATTTAATTGATAAAAATTAAATTTCCAAATTCGAAAGTATTTTATTATCAGAACTATGACGAAGGCGCAGTTAAAGTTTCAAATGATATACGTCATCATACAATCAATTTCCTTTTTAAATATAGTTTTGCATAACATAGTACAAAATATTGCAAATTATATAAATATTGCTTTTCATTCCAAAAATAGGTAGGTTTATTGTTTAATTATTTTTTCTTTAAAAAAAAAAATGACGAAAGGACTGTCTCTAGAACAAGATTTAAGATTATTAATAAATAATCCAAAATATAGTGATATAGAAATTTTATGTGAAGATGAAAAGAAATTACATGCTTGTAGAGCAATTTTAGCTGCAAGGTCCGAAGTATTTGATAAATTACTTTATAATGGGATGAAGGAAACTTATGAAAATCAAATTTCTTTTCCAAAAATTAATTCTGCTGGAATGGAAATTATATTAGAATATATTTATACTGGATCAGTTAAAAAAGAATCTTTAACAAAAGATAATTTAATTGAAGCTTTTTTCGCTGCACATTATTTTCAGTTATCAGACCTTCAAGATTTAATTATGAAAACAATTAATAACACTAATTTCGTAAAAGATTATTCTCCAGAGTTACTATCTAAAGTATCAGAAACAGAATCAGTAACAGAAGATAACATTATTCTCAATTTATTAGTTGAAACAGTAGCAAATATACCATTAAACAATATTGAGTTTGGTAGATTGTCTATTACAGGTCTTAAATATCTTTTATCTATTACATATGAAAATGAAACACCATTCGCTACCCAAGAGTATGAAGTTTTTCGATATAGTGCAATTCTAGCAGCAAAACAAGTCTCTGATAATACATACAGAAATCTTATGGAACGGTTACCAACTTTAGAACAAATTGAAAATTCAATTGAAGTAGAAAAAAAACTTTTTATTGATCATCAACAAGTTACTAAGGAACTAGAACCTTTGGTTAAATATATTGATTTCAAAAGGATTAAGACTCATATATTAGCCAATTTCATTGAACCATTAGGAATTATTCCAACTGAAATAGTTTGTAATGCTTATCGAAATATAGCATTATTAAGTAATTTTAGTTTAAGTGATTTTCGTAACGAATCCGATTATGTTTGGGATGAGACAGCATGTGGGTCAAAGCTCATTATTAAGGATAACGGAAAAATTGTACAAGCACTAGAAGATTGTAGCTCACACCTCCAAAGTGTTGGGGCTAAGATAACTTTAGAAAATAAAGGCATTTTTAAGTGGGATGTTATTATTGAGAGAGCTTGTACACATTCTTGGGTTGGAATATGTGCTTCAGAAAATTTTAATTATGAAATTCCTGCAGGAAAGCAATCTACTGGATGGGTATTAGGTTCTAGTGGTAACTGCCGTAATTCCGATACTACCATAAAAAATTATTGCCCATCATTTGGAGATGGCACAAAAATTACAGTTCATCTAGATATGAATAAAAAGACTTGCTATTTTACTGTTAATGGTATAAAGTATCCAGAAATATGGAACAATTTACCATCAAAACTTTATCCAGTAGTGTCAATAAAATTTCCAGGCCGCCTTCGAATTCAACCTCATAAAAGAATCTGAACATATTAGAAATATTATACCATTATTTCTAAATAAATAATATATTTGTAGGAAAACAATTAAAGTATATTTATTAATTATTTATTAAGGTGAACAAATTTCCAATATAGAAATGTGTGAATTATTTATTATAGGTTAACTATTTTTACATGTTAGTCGAGCAAAATAAATTATAGGTTTTTGTAAAATCAAAATGATACATGATATATGTGATATTCTTCTGGTAAAAATAAGAATGTTCAATGATAATATAACTATCAAGCCACGACTCATTTTTTGAAAATTGTTTAGAACGGTTACAATGACGACGTCTTCGTTGAATCTTATTGTTGGGAATATCTTAAATTTTAACTTAAGGACTAAATATGTTATGAAGACCTAAATAAATATTATTAATAATCGTTGGACAAATTTAAAATTAGTAGATAGTGATAGTTCAGATCAAATAACGACTAAATATTACTGGAGCACAACACAATACAAATTAAGTTTGTAAAAGTTTCACTTTGATTTATAAATGAATAATTTTCAAATTTCTACGTCCATTAAGATTTAAAATGATATTGTTTTATTGAATATACAAATTATTCAGACCTAAGATTTAATTTCATCGTAAGATTATCCATAAAACAATTATTGAAGTTATTTTTTTTTTTCTTAATTGACGATCCGCGAGTCAACTAGAGAAATTACATATAAAATTTGACGCAGATCATATACTAATTTGTCGTAATACGCTGACTTTAATGATTTCTGATGTGACAAAAACTATAAGCATAGTTTACTAAAAATAACACAAACAATAAAGTAAATGTCACACTTTTATTTTTCAAAGCCACCAAGCGTAAAACTTTTTTTTGACGAAGTTTACCTTGGAAGCACGCGGCATTTACTATGTTATTAGGTAAACTAAGGTTTTAAAAGTACAAATTATGGAAATTTTTTTATATTTCACTAAAATTTCATGCATATTTGCTTTATTTTTGATATATTTTATAAGTAAACTATGCTGCAATAACTTCTAACCTGACAAATTCAAATATTTTTCACACTCATTATACAAGTGATATGGTATGATAAAGCTAGTTTTTGTCTTTCAAATCTCAGATCTCTTAGAAATTGGACTTTTTCCAACGTTACATTATGGTTTTTTTGCATGAGATTGGTAAGAAAACTGTGGAAAACCATTTCATTAAAGCAAAATGGCGTTATTTAAACATTTGGCTAGCGAAATTCATGAACAACTCCACATTCAGAAATGCGGCTTTTAATTAATAAATTTCCGTCAAATTTTATTATCGTTTTCGCTACTTGACTCGCGGATCACCAATTAATTTATTAAACATTAGTGGTTTAGTACAACATATTTAAAATATTTAAAGTTTTTTCTTAAATTTAGTAATTATTTTATTGGACATCACAAATCTTTTGGTAAGATCTGTTTTTTAAAAAAATTATTATATTAACATTAAAAATTTCTTGAAATGGCAAATATCAGATACACTTTTGGAAAAGAAAATGAAAATAATACTTCCAAATCCTCGTTATCAGAAAAATAAATGAAAATTTTTACAAATTATTAAAGAGTTTTTTTAATATTATTATATCAGATATGATTTATTGCGTTAAAAATATTAAATATGAAAAATTAATAATAAAAATTGAGTAACCATTCATGGATCATTTATTTATTTAAAGAGAATCTTTCTAAATGATAAAAAGTTCTGATGAGAGAAAGAGATTTATAATAGAAAGTTTAACAGGGATTATAAGTGAACTGGTTAAAGCGTACTAATCAAATTTAAACATTAAAAATAATGATACTGTGATTGAGGTGACTGATTAAAAATTTAATATAATGATAATAATGAGGAGTTCATTTCGTAAGCATAAAATTACTGACGTTCAAATTTAGCATTTCAATTTCAAGTCAATACGTAAATAATGTTAAGTTGTTACGTTAAATGATCTATGTTTAATTAAAGTTAAAATAAACTATAAGCATTTGATAACAATACATTCCAAAAATGTTTTCATTATAGAATAATGACAAAATACAGAAATTTTTTTTTAAAAAAATTTCTTTCTACTGTAGTATGTCACAAAAAAATGTGTAATTTCTAACTTTCTATTGTCAATTAATAAAAACATATAATAACTCCAATTTGGATAAAAAACTTTGCCTATATAAAGCTAATAATATGAACAACATTAACCTTTTACTAGATTGGCTGCTTTCTTACGTGTATGTATTGTAAAAATTGAGAAAAATGAATTTTTGATATGAAATTTTGCAACAATTCAGACTACAAGCAAGAGAGATAGTTAATATTTTTTTTATTATATTTCTTAAATTTAAGTGATTACGTAGTGAAACGATATAGAAAATAAGAGAAAGGGAGTAGAAAGAGCGAGGGAAAGAGGGAAAGGTAACAAAAGGAAAAGAGAGAAACGAGAGAAGAGCAGGAATACTCAAACATACGCACCACCAACTCACACTCCCAACCTAATAAAAGTTGCAAAAAATGGAGCCGAAGAGAAAACTTAATAAAAAGAAAAAAGACCTAAAGAAGACCTGAAGAAAAGAGAAGAGAAAAGAAGACAGAGATGAGTTACGAATTATTCAACCATGTTTTAATCGAAAAATGAGACATACTTATATTATTTATATTATATACTCATAACAATTTTTTGCATGAGTGATATATCTAACTTATGATGGCCTATATATCAAATGAGTAATTTTTAATTTTATAAATTTATATTTATATTCAGATTTTCCATCAAATTTTTACAGCTATCAGTACATTAGATTAATTACAATTTTATTTTATGTTTTTTATTAATAAAAATACATTACTTAAATCTATTTAAAATTATTTAAACAATGCATGTTTTTTGCTTTAATTATAGTACACACTAGACTTTGATATCCAAAGATCTTATTATTCTATAATCCGAAGTTCTGTATAGTCTAATTTTTGATTAATAACTTTAATATGTAATATGTCTACGTACTAGATAATTTCAGTATAATTAATTTCATTAGAAAATAAGGGTGGATTTTTTTGTTAAAGAAATTTACCAGAAGATGCTTTTGACAGGAAGATCTTTTTTTTTTTTTTTTAAAAAAAAGAATTTTTATAAATAATTTTGCTGAGATTTTTTTTATTTGTCATTGTAGAATTTTTTTTTTTGATAATTTTGTTGGTTGAAAAGTTTGTCTTTTTTTGATAGAAGTCTTTTAATAGAAAATTTATTGAAAATAATTTTTTTTAATAAGGGTATTGAGAATTTTGACTTGAAAATTTTTTCAGTCGTTAGAGATCTGTTAGAGATCTTTTATAAAAATTTATCGGAAATTTATTATACTATTATATTTTGGATTAATATATATTTATTATTATTTCTATTAACTAATTATTATAGTAAACTATATACAATCTATTAGTATTATATAATAACTAATCTTTTTCTATGTACATATTTTGCGAAGCAATGGGTTACTGCTAGTTATATAATAAATATTGAATTAAAAAGTTTAAAATGAAAACCAATTAAAATAATTCTTTGTTTAATAAAAGATTATGATGGAACTTTTGAGTATTCATAATTCTAATATTCAGTTAATTCAATAATTATTGTCTCATTATATATGAGGAAACGATGTAGGCGTAACCTGTCGTGTTGTACCTGGGATGATATTTGCCCATCAAGTAAGAAAGTAATAATAACACACTTATATTTTATTTGCCATGCAGTGTGAATAGGTCTAATTTTTTACTGTTATCATGATGGCATTAGTAGGAAATAAAAGTAATAATTACACAATTTATATGATTATACAAATAACAATGAATTGTGTGCAAGTGTTATACAGTATATGAAATATTATTAATACATGCAAATTTTATTTATTAATGTTGCAGTACTGTGAAATTTACAAATTCATTACGAAACAATTTGTATGAGTTACAAAAAAAAATCTTTTTTTTTTATCTTAAAAAATTCCATTGTAGCATTAAAAAAAATTACATCCTCCAGAAAAAAAAAACATCTCACCGATTAATATGAAAAAAAAATTCCCAGAAAAATTAATTATAACGATCTATTGTTACAAAAAATAAATAAATAAGTAATTAGTTAGTCTATTAATGAGCTTGATACAAACCGTGATGTTGTATTATTGATCTGATC